CCCAGGCACAAATGTAAACAGTTATTTATACTTTAATACCTTTAATACTGTGTTAAATAGTGCAGACACCTTCGTTAATAAACAACTTTCGTTTTTTTGCACTGATGCTATATAAAGGAAAAAAATAAAGAAGCAAAACGTGAAAGTAGTTATTGTACTCAAATACTTCTTATGCGAGTGTCTAGTCTTGATTTCTGAGTCGCAGCGATCTAACCCCCCTCTTTGACCTCAATCCTTATTGGGGAATATTGATCGTTATCCCTTTCTTTCACTTTATGGTGTGCCTGTCGGGAACACATCCCAGCAAGTACTGGGGTACAGCTGCACTGTGCATGGCGTGTGTGGGCTTTTAAAGCTTTCACTGCAGAATATTGACTGCTGGAGGTGAGCTGGGATGGTGGTTTTTAAAAAAAACAACATTATGCTTTGAAAAGGCTCATGAACGCTGTTGCACCAGATATAAGAATACCGTCATTTGTGTCTGGCAGCGACAAGGGTTCTGTGTTCATTTTCCTTCTTACATTTTTAATTTGACATGTTTTAGCGAAGTACAGAAAAAAAAAAGCATTTTAACTTCAGCTGCAGTTGCCTTGAAGGTCGGCGTCCCACGCTGGTGGACCTGGTGTGTTAAGCTTCCACCTGTGTTGCGCAGCAGTGCGTATGCAACAGCTCGGATGCGCTTCAGCGCCGTCTTGCTCTTTCAGCACCTGCCTCCTCCAGGTCCCCATCATGGCGGTGGAAGCTGGGAGCGCCACCAGTGCCTCTCCACCAGTACAGCACCACCCCGAGCGCTGGGGGTGCATCTCGTGCTCCTTCATGGGGGAAGGGAAGATCTTTACAGCGGGAGATCAGACAGCCAGCCAAATGCCAAGTCGCCCCCAGTGTCCCAGAACAGAGGAGGCAAAGTGTTCCTTGCACGTTCCTCGTGCTGCTCCTGTATTACTGATTTCTTTTCCTCCCATTTTCCCTGTGAATGGAGTTCTCGAGAGTTACTGGTAAACAGGCAGGAAGGGCAGGGAGTGCACACAGGGCCCCATGCATCAATAGTTCAGTAGGAGAGGTGCAGTGTGTGCTGGTAATGAGCTATGCCAAATCACACCATCAATATTGTATGGCTGACTTTGGTGGGGGGTTGGGGTTGAAGAGCAGAGTGCTGGAGCTTTATAACCCACCTTTTCTCCAATTGGGTGGGGGGGGAGGGTCAGGGGTATGAGAGACTGGGAGGATTATAATGAGGCCTAGCGGGGAATGTGCTGACTAGATTACGGAGGGTGGTCAGCGCAGCCTGTTGCCATTGCTGTGTCTTCGGGTGGGTTACCTTTCACACACACAACGGAGCTCGTTTGAAAAAAAAAAAGGCAACGTGACGGGTGCTCCTGGGAATTTTAAAATAATATCCCGTATATTATTTATATATCCTGGAGGTGGTGTGTTTCTGATCAAAGAGGACGTAAAGTGCAAATACCGTTAGCTGTGTGATGTTATTGAGCTGCACAGCTAAATTCAGTTCTTGAACGCACCGCTGCTGTGTGAATAATTTAGATCTTGCATTTGTATTGATCAGGTAGTTTCCTCGGTGGACTCGCCAGCCCCCGCCCCCCACCCTTCCCACTCCCAGTTTGGAGTTGAGCGTCCCCCCCCCCGATGTGCAGGTGTACTGCTGAGTAAGAGGAGAAGAGCAGGCAGAGAGCGTGAGGGGGAGAGAGAGAGAGAAGAGCTTTTAACACGCTGTTAAAGGGAGAGGCAAGGGAACCTCAGAAAGACAGGTCATCTGGAATGTGAGTGTGAGATGGAGAGGATGAGGAAGAGCATCACTGAAGCAGGGCTGGGGAGGTGTGTGCTCATTGCTTCTTTAAACCCCCTCCACCAACACCATCACCTCCCCCTCCAGCTCCCCAGTGAAAGAATGAAGGGGCTGTTAACTGGAGCAAATTAATGCAGTAGGGCGAAGGGAAGGCGAGGAGAGAGGAGTCCCACAACTCCCCAACACCGCAGGACACCTCTCTCAAAATAGTTCACGGCTGGAAGTGACTTCAGTGCTGAGCAGCTCGGGTGGGAATTCTGTGAAATCAGGAAAATTTTGTATGTGTTTCTGCCTTAACATGCTTGCAGGCAGTGTGAGTGTGTGTTAACATGATCATATGAGCATGCCAGGCCTGCTCTGTGCAAGAATAGATAGAGCAGGAATAGTTTTTGAGAATAAACATGAAAAGACAGAGCACAGATTCCATTTTCATTTTCAGCTGAAAGAGACATGATGAATTATTAAAGCAGTGTGTTCAAACTCCTTTAAGCAAACAGGACTGTGAGCTCACTGAGGGTGCATGTGCCATGTGGTTTATGGAGAAAGATAATATTACAGGCAGTATAGACAGACAGCACACACTCTCTCACACACACATGCTGCTGATGGTTGCTTTGTGTCCACGCACACAGACTGCTGGCACTCAGAACTCAACCCTGTAAACACACTCATCCACAGTGTTCTAGAGCTGAGAATGCAATCATGCACACACACAGGCTGCTGGAGTTCAAAATACAATCATGCATATACACCCACACACAACCTGCTTGAGCTCAGAACACAATCCTGTAAACACACCGTGATACACACAGACTTCTGGAGCTCAGAGCACAATCATATATACACACACTGATACACACAGACTGCTGGAGCTCAGAGCACAATCATATAAACACACTGATACACACAGACTGCTGGAGCTCAG